CGAATCTCAGACTTCTAAAGTGTCAATGTCAAATCCAGCAATACAGAAAAAAGTGGAGAGGATGGCAGTAATCATTCAGTGCAGATACTTAATGTTTGTTTAAGTGCTGTTGGCAATGTCTTACTTTTCTACATTAAAAATACAGTTGGAGCTATATCCAAAATAAAGATATTGCTGAAATAAAGAGCTGTTCTCAGCACTGGGCCTCACTTCAAGGAGTGGGGCTGGGGGTTATGGAAAGCCTTGAAATATTTCTGTTACAACTAGATCTTCCTTAAAAACCAGGACTCTGTGACTGGATCTTTCAGTGTAGAGAAGCAATATTTAGAAATTTAGAAAACTGATGAATAGAGATTGTCTGGTGCACAGAGTCTGCAAATTCTCCACTGTTTTGCTCTAAGTGGGTTATTTTATTCCTGCTTTAAATGCTATGAGTGGGGTGTCAACCTGCGTAGTCAGAAGCCCCCACAGCTGAGAGTTGTGTGATATTGCCTTTATTTAGCAGCAATGTAAGGAGTCACGCCAGCTGCGTTTTTCAAGTTAGAGAGGAAAACCAGTGGGAGAAAGCAGCTACTTGCTGAGCTGTGGTTAGTCTGTTGTGAGCAGCTCTCTGAGGTTAGATCCCAGAGGAGTAGAGCTTCTCCCAGCCTCCTCTACCTTCTGAAGGTGTTCCTCAGCACAGCTGCTGATAACACAATATGAGGGGGCTTCTCCTCTTGTGTGATATATTCAACATTATCAAGAGATTAAGAAATCATATTGAGAAGCTCAATATGAGCCTGCAATGTGCTCTTGTGGCCCAGAAGGCCAACCGCGTCCTGGGCTGCATCAAGAGGAGCGTGGCCAGCAGGTCAAGGGAGGTGATTCTCCCCCTCTACTCTGCCCTCGTGAGACCTCACTTGGAGTATTGCGTCCAGTTCTGGAGTCCCCAACATAAGAAGGACATGGACCAGTTGGAGAGGGTCCAGAGGAGGGCCACGAAGATGATAAGAGGGCTGGAGCACCTTTCCTATGAGGACAGGCTGAAAGAGTTGGGGCTGTTCAGCCTGGAGAAGAGGAGGCTCCGGGGGGACCTTATAGCGGTCTTCCAGTACCTCAAGGGGGCCTACAAGAAAGATGGGGAGAGGCTGGTCAGGAGGGCCAGTTGTGATAGGACAAGGGGTAATGGTTTTAAAATAGAGGGAGGTAGATTCAGGTTGGATATTAGGAAAAAATTTTTTACCATGAGAGTTGTAGAACACTGGAACAGGTTGCCCAGAGAGGTGGTGGATGCTCCATCCCTGGAGACGTTCAAGGCCCGGTTGGATGAGGCCCTGAGCAACCTGATCTAGTTGGAGATATCCCTGTTCCTTGCAGGGGGGTTGGACTAGATGACCTTTGAAGGTCCCTTCCAGCCCTAACGATTCTATGATTCTATGATTCTATGAAATAGGGAAAGGTAGTTGCTGTTGGCACCATTGGTGACCCTCTAGCTGTCTGCAGAGCTTCAACATGGCTCAGAAGTACATGGAAGAATTGCTTTTAGTAAAGTCCTTTAGAAGTACATGGGAAGAGGATTGGTTATTGTGACTATATTGAGTCCATACAGTATTGTGTAGCCCAGTGATCCATTTTAGTTTTTTGAATGCTTTCCTTACAATTGTGGACTTAAACCTCGTGCTTCATTCTCTTTAAAAGCTCTTCCACAGTTTTGCAATTGATTGGAAACTCAGACTGTTATGTTATTCATTTTTATGGAGGAAACAGTGATTGAGCCTACAAGTAAGATATTTTCCAACAGGCTTTAGATCAGCCTTTTTTTTGGATCTCAGGAAGTTTCATCTTGTTCAGAAGATATTGTAGAGTATTTTATGTTTCCAGGCTACCTTCCAGAAACATAAATTGTGTTAGTGAAATTACAGGGGCTAGTTGTATAGTGATACTGTATTCTTGAATAGTGTTTAAAGCTTTGTTCTTCCAAAATTTACCAGTTTTATCCTGAAATTATGAGAAACTCTGTATCTTGAATCTGAGTTATGGATCATGCCTTCACATACTGTGAGCTGTCCTGCTCCATCCCTGGAGACGTTCAAGGCCAGGTTGGACAAGGCCCTGAGCAACCTGATCTAGTTGGAGATATCCCTGTTCCTTGCAGGGGGGTTGGACTAGATGACCTTTGAAGGTCCCTTCCAGCCCTAACCATTCTATGATTCTATGAATATTATCCTTTTCTTTGCTGACTCAAACGTGTTGTACTTGCTGTGCTTATCAGGGCAATGATATTAAAATGGCATGGTCTCCAAACATGGCTGGTGACATGCTGGAAAGCACCCACCAGAAGCTTCTGGTGTGCAAGCAGCTGCACTGAGAGCAGAGGTGAGGACTGTTGATTTCTTCTCCAGACACAGAAATATTCCCCTTTTAGGGGAGCTGAGCCAATGGAAAGGTAAGGAAACTGATAATTACATTTTGTTTCTAACTCAGACTACTGTAAAAGTCTCAGAACATGGATTTTGTTGATGGAATATGTGCTTTAGGAGAGGTGCATAAGGAAGGAAAATAGAACTTGTTGAGGACAATTCCTCTAGTTCACCTTCTCATTACTGCCTGAGTACAGAAGTTGGAAGGTCAAGTGTCATGGCCAAGTCAGGACTCATAGATTTGAGAGGATTGTATATGGGGTAAGTTACCTGCCTTGGAAATATACAGACATAATGAAAACTTTAATAAAAAAGCAAATGTGTTTTTTCCCCCTTTTATTTTCATTCCCATTTTTTTTTTTTTAACAGTTAATCTGCAGAAACAATAAATTATAGTGGAAATGCAGTCAGAAGTCTGCAGTTAGTTGAGGCTGTTTACTGACACTCTGACAGCTGCTTTTCAGTTCAGCTTATTTTTGAACATTCATCATTACTGTGTTCTTGAAGTGTGATGGGAGGAATCTAGGCTGAAAGCACTTCTTATGTTGCACTGCAGCGCATCTCTCCAATGATGTAGAAGCATGCTCCTATGTGGTGTAAAGACAAGCAAAATCTAGTCTGTGAGTTGGTTTGGATTGGGTTTTTTGTTGTTGTTTTTTGTTGGAAACTGTACCCTGTTGGTCTCCCATGTCTCCAGAGATGTGAGAGACATAATAATAGGCACAATTGCTTAAATTGATTGATGGGCTTAGCTGCATCCATGTGCTTCTTCCAGCTATCTATCTCATCCATCTTTTCTTCCAGGTATCTGCCCAGCCTATGCCTTAGATAAGGTCATGCAGATCACTGCCAAGGTACTATCTGACCTTTCTTTGACAGTGTGTACATATATTTATTTATTTTTATTTTTTTAAATCCACAGAGGTATTCTTAGTATATGCTTCCAGTTTCTAAGCTTTTTGCATGATCTCTAGCAACTTGTTTATTTGCTTGCTGGAAACCTTTGGTGAATTATTTTGCAATTGTACATCCCTTTACTCATTTAACGGAGAGGTTGATGCACAGTTATTGCTCTGTTGAGGAGTTTTGAGTGGGACATAATCTGCAAACAGGACAGTTAACTGTTTTATGTAAACAGTGGAACATGGATAAAACTGTATTCCAGGAACCAGACATCATTTGTTTACCATTATAAGCAACTAGTTTTAAAGATATAGATTTTAAGGGTGTAATGTGGTACCATGCACAGATATCCTTTGATCTTGCAGCTCCCTCCTACTCAAGAGAAGTCCATGGTACTTGAATCCAAGGACTAAATGTGAGCTCCTGTGTGGCTGTGAGCAATAGTGTCGGTTTTGGCTGCTCTGAAGGTACTGTACTAGTGCCCACAACCCCTGGTAGAAATTATGTAGTAATCTCTGTCAGTGTTCATTCAAGATAAATAAGAAGCACGTGGGCGTGCGAGGAATGACTGCAGTTCTTTGCATATTCCTTTGCCAAGGTACAAGGAGAGAGGTCACTGCTACTTAAAGCAGTCCTGCCATGGCATATTCCTGACTGAGACCTTGCCAGGCAGTTCACTGAAGGCAAAGCCTCTGGTTTATAGTTCTTATTTCTGGAAATAAATATTTATGATGCAATCAGATCCCTGATGGTAGCAGCACAAAAGATTGAGTAAAAGAGTGAAATATTTTGATAAGCCTTCATTGGAGTTCCTAATACGTTGTGTGTGCTCTGTACGCAGCGTTGTCTTTCACAATTTGAGTGCTAAAGGGTTTCCTAATTTGCATGTAAAAATGAATTTTGTTTGTCACTGGATATACTTGGCCAAATGTGTGCTCTCTCAGGCTTGTTTTCAAAACAGAACAGCTGTTTTGTAAATGTGACTATTGGAAGGCTGACGGGGATAATTGCACTCTAGTAACTTCAGCACCCTCATACCTGGCACAAAGCTCTTCAGAGATTATTTTTTTTTTTTGCCATGCCTTCCTGTTGAACTTCAGTGTAGGGTTTGCATTTCCTTTTGACGCAAACTGACTTTACTTGTGGAAATAAATGCCAAGCTTGGTAATCCCCTCCAGTGACTGCCAAGATGCCTCTGGCGGGCTGCGTGCCTGGGAAGCCCAGCCCCACTGGGCAGCCCGTACCCTCTGCGGCATCCCAGTGCCCTGCAGGTGTGCAGGGCTGTGACCGCCTGCTGTGTTCGTGGTTTCATATTTGCTTGTGTTTTGAGGATGCTATTACTGTTTGTTGGAAAATGTTACTGAGAGTGTGTATTTGTCCCCTTGTGTGAGGAGCATAGTCAGGCTTAAGAAACTGGATAGCTCAAGACTGTATGTAAGACCATCCAGCAGAACTCCTTAGAGTAGACAGCTGGGTGGAGGGTAGGGCAGGACTTTGTGCCAAAATGTATTGAGAAG